CCTGTGCCGGGTGTGGCGTCAGCGCAGCGTGGAAGGCCAGGGTCTGCGCCGCTGTGGGCAGCCCGGGCCCAGGGACCAATGCGTGTAAGCACCCCCGCGCTGCAGCCCCTTCACCACACCCCCGCTCTGCTTCCGGCCGCTGAGGGCCGGAGGGAGGTGAGGCAGGAGGAAGCTCAGACACTCCAGTGAGTTACGGAAGTTCAAGGGATTGTGCGTCTCAGTGTGAGAATAAATACGGCTCCCAGCGGTGGAAGGGCCAGAACACGAGTTCAGAGAAGGAGAGTACAGAGCACATCGTTCCCCAGCAGAACAAGCCTTTCTATGAAGATCCTGAATGGAAATTCTGGGACTGACCATGACGAGAGGTTACCTTGGGGGAAGGACAACAGCGCAGCAGTTCAACAAAGTAACAGCCGCCACATGGGCCAGCCAGGCCTGCTCTGCAGGGCTGTGCAGCTAGAACCCTGCTCACCGGCCTCCAGCTGAGGGGGTCAAATGGTGGCTGAAGGCCAGTCCCCAAGTCCTGAGCCAGGAAAGAGTACCTTTTGAGGAAGGCCACTTTTCCATAATTCATGTTAGAAGTGAGAGCTAAAGGAAGGGTGGCCAAAGAAAGACAAAATTAGGGAAAAATAGTTAGGGACCCAAACAGGGAGTGGCTACAGACTGTAGCAGAAGAGCCCTAACTTGGGGTGATAGTACCAGCTAGTACGCATCAAGTGCTAACGCGATGTCTAGAGCCACACTGGCACGCGACAGGTACTCCCGCTTCATTATGGTTACAGCAGTTAGAAACGAAGTGGTTGCTAGCAAAGAAAGTCTCAGGCTAACCTAAAAAGGAAGATTGGAAACAAGAAGTCTGGCTAAAAGAAAAAAAAAAAATGAAAGGAAATATCAAGCTACACCATAAAGCAAAAGGCGGGCTTTCCGTGTGAATATCATACAGAACATTGGCCTGCGTAGGGTCTTGGAGAATGTGAAGGTTTCACATCATTTTTTTCCACAACTCAACTCGTCCTCAACTCAGGGGCACCACGCTGCCATCAGGACAATCAGAGTCCCCGTGATGTGACGCCACTGTTTGCGGGAGTTCCAATGCGCTCACATGTATCCGGTCAGGACACAGCGCAGCGGAAAAGCAAAGACGTGGCCACCGCAGGACCTCGGCCAAAACCCTGAATTTTACCACCTACTCTCTAGATGGCCATGGACAAGAACTCTCTCTGGGCCTCAGTTGCTACACCTATTAAGTGACACCCATTATCCCCATTTCACAGATGATAAAACTGAAGAAGGGACGTGACTTATACAAGGTCGCACTATTGAGAAGCAGTCGCCTGGTGCTGTCCGGACTCACACAGGGTTAGAGTCACAGCCGGGCCGGTCCTGTTTAAAGCTCGACAGGAATCTACCTGTGCGTTATCTCGGATGAGTAAGTACGAGAACACGTGTAATAAATGAAAGCTTAAAACCTCTGATGACAAATGCACCTTCCAGTCTGTCCAAAAGACAATGAGGTCGATAATAAATCAAAGTAAAATTCTTTCCAAGTTATCCAAATTGGCTTAATGTTTTTGGGTTGTGTATTTTTTGAGCATTTCTCATAAATATGTAGTTTATAAATGCTAATAAATAACTTTTCACAATATCAACCAGAAGTAAGTAAACTTTAGGGCTTGCAGATAATTAATAATACAATTTTAATTTACATAGTCAAAATACCCATTAAATTAAAAAGTGGATTTTTCCTACAGTGGAACTGTCTTGACTGAACATGTTTAAGCTAAAATTGTACAAAACCCAAAAATGTTCCAGGTTCCTTAAAATAACAGAACTTCAAGTAAGCTCCTATTTTGAGCGAGCACCCAGGTACCTTTTTTGGACCAAGTTCTTGCAAACTGAGCAAACTAGAAAGATGTTAAATTCACAGGCAGCACTGAAGTGCAGAAGAACATACAGGGTCGGGAAAAAATAACGGCCCTTTTTTATTACAAAATCTTTTATTACAAAATCATAAGCATGTAATTCTGTAACATAATATTATGGTGAAGCACACCATATGACATTTTAGGTGAAATGTTCAAATTAAACTATAAATTATTACACCCATATTATTACCCTACCAACCACACCCGGGCAGGCGTCACTTCTGCCGGACAGTGTATTTAAGCATCAAGACCTAGAGAACAAAGCCCTGGCTGAGTAGCTCCGTTGGTTGGAGTGACATCCTGATACACAAAGGTTGCAGGTTCGATCCCCGGTCAGGACACATCCAAGAAGCAACCAATGAAGGCATGAATAAGTGGAACAACAAATCGATTTTCTCTCTCTCTCTCTCTAATCAATAAACTTTTAAAAATTTATAAAAAAGACAGAGAGTAGAGCCTCATTTGGAGGAGTGGGATCTTTTGTTCCTAAGATCACGTTCAGAGACCAGATGACCAGAGCAAGAGAAAGATGACCTGCATTTTAAAAAAATAAGATAAACTATCTATTAAAAATCAGCATAACAATAAATGTATTCACATAAAATTATTCTATAATAGTTAAAAGCACATTGGCATAAAGTTATAAAAATTTGGGTATAACTGTTTTGATAAAAAAATCCAATTTATATGTTAATTATAAGAAAATTATTTAATGTATCAGTTTGTTACCTTTGAAACTCTTGAGATTTCACCAAAATTTTAAAAATATCATTAAAGAGGAATTTAACTGAGAACAATTTTCTATTTAATAAGGTAGACATCAAGCTGCTCGTAAAGCATAATTAGGTAGAATTTAAGAGTTCTGATCATATGCATACATCAAATCTCAGCAGTAGTTATGCAAAATGAGCCCATATATGTAGAAAAGTGCCTGTAGAAATATAAATATTAACATGGTTATTGCTGAGGAGTTAGATTGGAAATGAAATATATATTGCCATTGTTAATACATACTAAGAAAATACTTCAGAAAATACTAAGAATACACAGTGAAGTCAACAATAAAATGTTAGTTAGAACAGAAAGAGATGCAGGTTGATTTTCTTTCCACCTGTCTAGTACATATGAGATCCGTGTTAACCAAATGAAGAGCATTCTGCCAGGTACAAGGAAACCCAAGATAATGAACAAAATCAAAATAAATCCATGTCCTCAAAAAGCCCGTGATCCAGGAGTAGAGGTAAATACATGTTCCAACAACTAAGTATAAGGCAGAATTCAAAACGTTCTGCAGTATTAACAATAGATCCAGAATAGTATAAGGGCAAGATAGGAGAGAAATTCCTTCTAGCTGAATGGAATTAGGGATACCTAGACAGATACAGCCACTCCATTGGGCTTTAAGGGATGGATTTTGGCAAGTGAATGATGGGAAAGAAAAAGGAGGAAAAAAAAAGGGGGCCAGCTCCTATTGAGCCATCACAACGCACCAGGAACTGTGAAAAATACTTAACTTCATTCAGTCTTCATGTTAGCCCCCCACGGAGGCACCGCTAACCTGCTTCACAAACCAGGAAGCTGAAGCGGCTCAAGCTCACACAACCAGTGCTGGAAGCACCTAGTCCGCGTTCCTCCACACTCAGCTCTGCTGCCCGTCCAGACAAGGGGAGAGCATGAGGACCACGGGCTAAGGGGAAACCATGCGCAAGGCACAGAAGAAGAACCCTAAACTGACTAAAGGGCCTCCATGGACCAGCCTCCACATCAAGTGCTTTTACATGAAATTTTATTTATTTTTCCTGTGACATAGCCATTCTCACATCCATTTTGAGGATGAAAAAAAATACTAAGGTTTAGATAGGTCAGTTATCAGGTCAAACAGGTAAATGTAGAAAAACAGAAATTTAAACGAGATCTGAGTCCAATCCCAGGTCAAGTGGGACAGATAGATGGCTTTTTGTGCAGTATTTCAGTCGAGCCCCAAAATAACACTGTACATCTGGTGGTATTATTTTTCTTGTTTTACAGATAAGAAACTGAAAAATCAGACAGGGTGAGTAACTGCCCCAAGGTCATGGAATTGGGTAGGAGGTGGACGCAAAATTCAACCAAGAAGCCTGACTTCAGAGCCAGGGTCTGACCCTCTGGATGAACTTTCAGAAACACAAGAGCAATATCACGGAGACCTCGAACGTTACACTTGGAATCCCGCAGCTGTGTAAACTCATCGAAGCTTTTTGCTGTGATCATGGTCAAATTATGCTTTCAGAATAAAACCTTTCCGTAAACATAATCAAAATTAGATTGTTGGCACATAAAGTTTAAGAGGACGTGGAGCACCTTACCTGAACAGCTTTTCTAATAAGGTTAACCACTATTTCAACGAGGTGTATTTGGTTTACCTTAGAAGGTCATTTATGTAGTGAGCCAGCAGGCACTCGACTATGGTAACCTCACTAAACTGCCAAGCCCCAACTAAGGGCTGCAACACTTTGTTCAGCATGAGCTGCGTTAGATTTACCGGTCATTATATCTTTCTACAGATTTCCTGACCTAGTGGTGTGGACATAGCAAGTTGAGTAACTGATCACTGAACCTGACTTCTCAAAGCCAAACAGAAAGGAGGGGACGGGGACGGAAATCAAAGATTGAAATAGGTTTTAACATTTCATTTTGCCTCTTGGCTAACATGCACAGACGTTATCTTGTACCAAACATCACCCTATGCCAACCAGCTAAGAGACCTAAAGCTGTCCACTTACAAAAGAGGTTCAACATTCCCAGCGACAAGCAGAGTCTGACTCATCCTAAAAGCCAGCATCAATTATTAATGAGTCCCAGACGCCCCCCACCCCCCACCCCCTCCCTTCCTTTCTACTTCTTTTCCTGCCAGTGAGTCCAGGTCCCTCTATCCCTGCACTTCGTGTCTCCCAAATTCCTGGGGACCTTCCCCATCCCACCTCCGAAGAATAACTGCCACCCCTCTCCATCACGACGCAGCCTCGCCGGTTTCGGTGGCTTTCTCCCTATCTTCCCTCCACCCCCTCTACCCGGGGCTCGGACCTCCCCACTCACCAGGTGCAGGGCCAGGGGCAGCAGCAGCAGGAACAGCCACAGGTAGAGGTGGCAGCTGTTGGTGAACTTGCTGTGCTCTGGGTCATGGTACCAGCCCCCGGTGAGCGCGGCCCACACGCCCTGCCGGAGCAGCTGCAGCACCTGGGACACCATGCCGGCTGCGCCCCGGGGTCGGCACCCCGTGCTGCCCGCGGATGCCCAGGCCCCCGGCGCGCGCGTCTCTAATACCCGGGGCCCCGGGCCGCGCCCCCGCCGCCGCCGCCGTCCCCTCCACCTCCCTCCGCCCCACCACTGAAGCGCGAGCCGCCTCTCTGCCGGGACCCGCACACCGCGGCGCCGCAGCCGGCTGCTGCCGCCGGGCAGGTGAGCGCCATGTCCGACGGAGGAAGGATTTTCCCATGGTGCCCCGCGCCGGCTGCTCGGAGGATGCGCCAGAGGCCCCGCCCAGCGCCCCCCCCCCCCCGCCCCACCGCACATCCCTTCTTGGGGGTGAGGTTTTGTGAGTCCCTCCAGCTTCTCTTTTTTTGCTTCTACGGGTCCCCTTGTCCTTTTCGCCCCACCCTTCTATTACGGGGCATGAAAAGCTTAAAAATCAAAGATGTTCTCATGCATAAGACATAAGGTAGGGTGTGCTCCTTTACCTTTTCCTTTTTTGCTGCCTGCACCAAAATATTTATGTAACTCAGATCCTGTCACAGATTGCACAATGCAATTTCTTCCACTGAGCATTGCTCGCGCAGCTTCATCCTCCTTAACGTACCACTCGCCCCAAAAGTGCTTGTTCCAGTTCTACTTGCACCTTTGGCACCAGCCTTTTTCCTCCCTGACCTTTCCTCCTCCTCCTCTCTGTTGTCCCATTTAGCAGGTAAAGAAAATAACCACTTTCCTGGAATAATTTTAGGGACCTCAGTTAAGCTATTTGTCTTTTCATATATTTCCTAGAACGTAATCTCAAGCATTAACTGACTGCTTAGAACATTAGTCTAAGTCTTTCTCTGCTGTTTAGGGAAGAAGACCCACTAGAAGGTATCACTGAACTTATAATCTTTAAGCTTTTCTAGTATTTTATAATTTATAGTAGATAAATTTCAGATTCTCTTTTTGAAAGAGATAAAAAGAGATTCATCTTCTTTAGAATGAGAAAAGGAAGCCCTCATTATTAGTAATTGATAAAGTGAATGAGTTTCAGATTCTTGCACAGAACAGGTTTTGAAAAAGGAGGAGATAAAAGGAAATTTGTCTTCCTTAGGAGCAAGCAGGGGAAGCCCTGTGTGACTTAAGGCCTGTTGGAGAGGAGGAGGATTGGAGGCTCCAAGATCCCAAACATGCCTCTTCCGCCCATGCCTGCCCTCTCCGTCCCAAGCACATGTCCCCTCTGATATGTGCCCCTGTGCACGCCCTGGCTGTGCACTGGTCTGGCAGCACCATTTGCCCATCGCTGCCTTGGCCAGTCCCAGTGCAGCCATGCCAGCCTTCCTATGCTGAAATGAAAAGGGGGGTTCATTCTGAGGACCTGGTCTTGGATGTGAAAGTCCACTCAGACAGCAGTGCCGCACTGGTGTGCGTTCTTCCAGCCTTCGCCACTCTGTACTCTGCCTTCATCTGCGAGAGTGACGAACCACCGTGGCCAGTGTGGCTTGCTTGGCTGGAGTGTCATCCCATAAATCAAAAGGCTGCGGGTTCTGTTCCTGATCAGGGCACATGCCTGGGTTGTGGATTGGGTACCTGATTCAGACTAGTGTGAGCAGCAACCAATTGATGTTTCTCTCCTTCTCTCCCTCCCTTCCCCTCTCTCTAAAAGCAATGAGCATGTCCTCGGGTGAGGAATACAAAAATAAAAATAGGAAGAATGACTAACCAAAATGTAATAATGCTGCTTTCTGTGTTGGAAGAGTAGTTTTCTCAAAGACACAGAGGGTGATTGTTTTTATATGGCATTAATGCTTGAAGCTTACCAGGTGCTCTATAAATGTTGAATGAATCAATGAATCAATGAATCAATGAAGCAACTCCACCAAAAGACCCGCAGACAGAATCGCGTTCACGTGCATGGGTCGAGGAGGAACGGCCATGCGACAGGCCCGCCCCTGCGCTGAAGCAGGGCCCCCATTCGTCTGCCCCGGCTTCGCCCAGTATTCCCCGAGCACCTTCTGTGTGCCAGGCATTTTTCTGAAGACTGAGGAAGCAAACAGAAATAAAATATAGTCCCTACCATGCAGGAGTTCACAGATTACAAATAAATAAAGACTTGGATTTGCCATAGAATGTGCTGTGTGCTGCGATAGGACTGTTGGAGGAGTTCGCCGAGAAGATGTCACTGCAGGTTGACCCAAGAATTGGACTCTGGCAAGAGGAAACTCCTTACCAACACCCCTGGCCCCCTCACCCTCCTGCTAGGAATGTTATGTGTGCTCAGCACCCCATCCCTACACTAAGCAACACTCCAAGGGTGCAGCTTTGAGAGAGCGATGTGTTATTGAGATCATCTGGACTGATACATGGCTGGACCCCTTTAAGGCCTCTGAATAAACTCTTAAAATCCTAGCAGGCGGACGCAGAGATCTACTTGTCTTGTGGTGCCCGAGACAAGCCTCCTATGTAAGTTCCCTGGTTTATTAATCCCGCCGCCTGCCAATCGGGAGTGGTCTGCGTGTTTCATCAGTCCCTCCTGCCCTCTATGTTAATGGGAGAAGCTTCAGATTCACTTTGGGAACCAACACATGCAGAGGCATGTAAGAGTTGAGTCATTGAAGAGGACACATGGTCAGGTCAACGATGGCGGGAGGGTGACAGCGAGACCCAGGACTGTCAGCTCTCTGGGCAGATAAACCTGAATGTCTCACCAGGCAGATGTATGTGAGGAAAAACAAACAGAGCACTTTGGGGAAAATATCACTATAGTCGAATGTGAGAAGGCAGCACTGGGAAGGGAGAAAATGGATGAGGGGAAGCTTACTAATGGAGATGAGCAGAGACCAGTTAGGGAGGTCACACGGAGTTCCTCAGACCTGCCCCAGGCAACGGACAGGCATCGGATGGCTGTAAGCATGGCTGTGACAGGAACAATCATGCAGGGAACATACCTGAGCCAGCGGGAGCGGACCTGACTTTGACAGATTAAATAGAAACCAATTCAAAGTAGAGATAAAAGAGTAAGGTAACTTTCCATTTTCGGTTGGGGTGACTATGCTGCAAAGTTAATAAAGTTATGGAATACTGGCGATTTAGCAGGAAAAGAAAATGTGATTGCAGTGACTCTGAGTTCCTGGGGACGCGTGGTGGGGGCAGGGGGAGGGCGGGTCTGGAGCTCAGCAGGGAGGGGCGCCCGAAAGAGAGGAAGAGGCTCGGGAGGACTCGGCGTCGAGTTCCATGGAAGGGAATGAAAATGTCCTGGGAAAGAATGTGGAATAAGGAGACACAGGGCTGTGCATGACCCGAAGAAAAGGCATGCGCAGGAGAAACACAGGGAGAGAGCAGAAGACTGAGGTGAGCCCGTCAGCACCAACCAACTACACAGGGGAAGAGCCATTCAGGAAGAAAAGGGTTGATAGTGTCAAGTGCCATAGAAGAAGCCACACACAAAGATGAAAGTGCCGATGGGAGTGACCTATGTCATGGCAGTTTCGGGGGTTGAGGACAGTGAGGTGGACAGATGCCTCATTGCATTGTATTAAAAAGCGCGGCGAGCAGTGAACAAGCAGACGCAGCCAGCGCGGCCTCCCCTCGGAGGCTCTGAGGGCAGGTGTGACCTGAAGGCGGGTACAGCGTCAGCGAATGTTCCTTCTGACCAATTGGCTTCCAATGTGCGGGGAAAACTAGCGTTTCCCCTCCAAGACTCTATTTTCCCTGGGAGGGTCTTAACCTGCTGTCCTGGCTTTGACTGCTATACAGATGTGATGGCTCTAATCGCCCTACCCAGCCCTGGCCTCTTGTCTGAACTTCAGATTTATATCCATTGGGGGCCCCACTTCCGGGCCCTCAACACGTTCAAACATGGATCATTGGCTTCTCTCCTGTTGTACGTCTCCTACTGTACCTTCTGTGAGTTGGATCTCCATTGATAAAGCTACAGCCCACCCACCCGATCATTTAGAACCTGGGAGCTTTCTGGGATCCTTCCTTTCTCTCACCCTCCTTTCTTACTACCATATCCAGTCAGTCACGAAGTCCTGTCAATTTGATCTCCAAATGGTCATTAACTATATATGCTCTGCTCTGTCCCTGCTGCTGCTGCTCCAGGTCACGTCCTCGGGATTTCTCACCTGGACTATCGCAGTGGCTTCCTGATGGGTTTTGGTATCTCCAACGTGACCCCCTATAACAAGGGAGAGCCACCCAGGAAAAAGGAGCAACTCTGGCTTTTAAACAGAGATAACTCTACAGGGGAAATGGAGACACTGAGAAAGTAAACAAAAAGGGATGAAGCACCCAGAGGTTAGCAAAGGAGAAACAAGACTCCTCGGACTAGAGGAGGAGTGAGAGGAGGCAGTGCTGGGGGAACGAGGAGCCCAGGATGGGCAGCCGGAGACCGCGCCAGGTGGGGACAGGCTGCAGGGTCGGAGCCTGCAGCACCTGCAGCTGCCTGGGAGATCCCGCGAAAGGTGGCGGTGGGGGAGCACATGTGAACACCCTGACTCGTTCTCCCCTGTCTTCCATTTCCTACCTGTCCCTTCCACTGGCCAAACCTACCCGGAAGCCATAGTGCAAGGAAGTCTGGGAAATGTAGTCACTTGTCATACACATCAGAGCAGGTGAAGGGGAAACCAAAGTGATTTATACAAAACATAAATTGGACCTGGCTCCCCCTTCTTAAAATTCTTTCCATCACACTCAGGAAAAACAAACAAAACAAGAGTTGAAAGTCTCCCCCAGCTTTGCCTTCATTAAATCCCTTCAATCCCATCCTGAGAAACCCAAACTGCTCATTCAGGGTGGGGCAAAAGTAGGTTTACAGTTGTTCACACGGAAAATAATACAATAATTAATAAATAATAACACAACAACAAACTGTGTTTTGTGTACTCACCACTGGAAACCTCCTTTTGCCCCACAAAGCATTTGTCGGCTCACCTCACGATGCTCCAAGCCTTCCTGCTTTTCTCGACAAGTCGACACACATATACACACACTGCTGGGATTTTGATTGGGATTAT